TAATTTAAAATATATGATATTAAATAATATCTATTAAAAAATTATTAATGTATTTGTTTAATATGTTATACATATCTTTCGAGTAATAAAATTATTTTATTTTATTTTACATTGCTTCAACATAGACAGATAATAATATTTTATAAAATAATATTTAAAAACAAATTATTAATATTAAAAATTATCAAAAACTTTACTAATATTTAAAAAAATTATGATACATTACTTGAACTGATTGTACAAATTTTTTTGTGTAATTAATTAATTAAAAAAATAAATTAATTTATTTAAAATTAAGAGGAATAGAGCAATATAGAAATGATTTAAAACAAAAATATGAAACAAATTTATTGCTAATTAATTTTATCTTTGGATCGTTATATTTGATATATATCCAATCAATATTAATTAATGATAATTTTTTTCGCTTTAAATTGTTGAGTTATTGTATAAAATGCAAAATTCTCTTCATTTCATCAAATTCATTTTATTATATTATTATTATCACTTTATATATATTAATATATAATTAATATATAATATATAAGGGAATTATATAAGATTTAATAAATTAAACAAATTTAAATAAAAGACTCTTAGATACAATATGTTTAAATAAAAAATTAATTAAAATGTTGAAAATAATTGAAGAAAGCTAAAAAATTAATTTTACCTCATCATTCATTATTACTTTTTTTCACATTATTTTGCCAAAATTAAAATTTTTTTCAAATCGAGTTTCTGCTGCCTATTAATAATATAACATTAGAGATTTAATCAAATCAGTTCATTCATATTACGTAAAGACTAGGGTCGATAAATGAGGTATACATGAATTACAAATCCGGTATTTCATGTGCGCTGACCTGTGTTCCATTTAAAAGGGCCTCCATCGATACAACCGTCAAGTACCACTTTTAGATCCATATTGTATTTTTTCTTTGTATCCTCGTTGTGTATAAAGCTCGTTCTGTATTCTGTTCATAAAACTTCGTTCCCTACATTTTATTTCGATTTTTCTACATATGTACACAAATAATTAACGTCAACAATTTCTTTACTTGTGCTAAATAAGCAAAATAAAAGTTTTCTTTCTATTTCTCCGACGATCAAATTAAAAGATATTCGATTATCAATGTAATTGGCATTATTTCCACAAATTTTTTTCTTTGAAGAAAAAAAATCCTTTTCGAAAGAAAGGAAGGCAATATTTTTTCTGATTAAGTTTGAAATGGAAAAGATGTGACAAAATCTATAACCATCTTTACTTTTATAGCAATACAAATTGAGACGTGTTATATAGAATTCAAATGTCGGCCACCAATATCATTTCATTCTATCGATTTTTCCGTATCAGAAATATTTATGTACGCATACGCGTATGCATGTACTAATAAACTCTATATTTTTAATAAGGGATATCAATACCGTATTACGTTTCCCCCTTTTGTGCCGTTCCAACCAGGTCAGAAACTAAATTACGCCGCGTCACAGAGAAATATTCGGATGCAGCCGCTGTTCTTGATTATTTCAATTTATGTTTATGGCCAAAGCTAAAAGGGACGTTGAAAAATTATTTTATATTCAGTCAGTTTTTCATAACTCTTAATTAAGAAAAAAATATATAGATATATACGTATGTTTTTATTCGTTTTTAATTATAATACCGTTTAAAGGAAAAATAATGGGCGAATATAGTCGAATTATCATTGAAGTTAAATATGATTTCAAAAATTTTAAATAAATATGTTTATTCGTAGTAATCATTTGGATAATATTTTATTTAATCTTGATAAAATAATATATAGATTGTTGAATTATCTTATATCATATTGCAATTCAATCGTTTAATATTAAACGAATAAATAAAAAATTAACAGATATAAGAAAAATTTATTTTACTATCTATCCAAATTATAACAAATAAAGAATAAAATACGTACAAACGACTAATTGGATCTAAACCATTTTATTTAACAAAAAAAGATTTAACGTAAAAGAGGAAAAGGCTACTTATCAAACAACCAGTTACATAAACAAACGTGTACCAAATATACTTGCACCCTCGTCAAATGTTTTCCCTCTAAACCGGGACTCAAACCACGCAAAACAAGCGTTTTAAAAAAGAACTCATCCCCTTTCTCCTCCTCCTAAAAAACAAAAAAAAAAAAAAAAGGTATACAGACCAAACAATCGGTTTGCAAACTGCATTTTCAAAAAAAAAAAAAACTCAAGAAAGAAAAAAACAAGGGGAATAAAAAGATGTAATTCGAAGTCGAAGTGGAAGGTGCTATAATATGCAAAGTCGCGTCGCGTTGAATCAAATTCAAATTGGAGACGATCTAACGCGATAGTTTACCTGTATACCGCGGAAACCTGAGACTCGTTACGCCGGTATACGATTAAGCAGCGGGCGAACGAGTTTATCTCTCGATCATTCCGCTCGAAATGCCCGAGCGGGTGTGGTACCGGCCGTATTCGTTGGGATCGGTCAGCTAGCCGGTTGTAACGGAGCTATAAGATCTGCTGTTCCGTTTCGTTGCTTTGCATTGCGTACTTACTCTCTTTCTCTCCCTCTCTTTCTTTTTCTCTCTCCCTCTCTGTCTCTCACATCGCCGTGTTGGTGCACACGGGCTTCACCTCGGTTGGACAAGTGTGCGATCCTAGAAGGATAACGCGTATATGCGCCACGACTTGCTGGACCATTTGCGAACCCATGAGAAAGACCGATGGACGCTTATACATATTAATAGCTACACGTATATTACTCATACCAAGAGAGCTCTCGACATTTCCCTCCCTTTCCAAGATGCATCTTTTCCATCTTACTCTCCCCCTTTATTTCGCGATATACATTTTGTTTCCCTTCTCCCGTGCAACGATTCCGATATTTTCGCGACGGATGGCCGTCGTGAATATACATGTAAGTATATGTTATACTTATATTTCACATGGTGTACAGGCGACGCTTCTTCGTGCAGATGTTTTCGTTTGGTCGTCGTTCCATTGGTTACGGAAGAAAAGAGGGAGGGTCGTGAAAGTACAAAGCGTGAAACGACGAGTTATGAATTTAGATTTAATATATTCTTTCTTATTTTCTTTTTTCGTCAATAATTATTACACTTACTTCATCTCGTAAGATTCATATTACATGGGTAATTAGATAAATTTTTTATTTGAAATTATTTATATTTTATACTCTAATCAAAGAACTTTCTGAAAAAAAAAAAAA